CCAGCGAATTCGTTAGCTGTTGATGAAAGTCGGCAAAAAGCTGTTGAAAATCCTTTTCGTGATACGCTGTCCAAGTTTCTGACCTGTATAGAAGGAACGACTTGACATTGGTGTTGGAAATCCGAATCTTGTTCCATATGCTGAGACAGGGTTAAAATCCAATTTACCATTTTCAAACCACTTATTTTTGGGAGAAACCGATCACTGTTGATTTTGGAAGCACAAAATATTTAGACTACAGTTTGTTTTATAATTTTTACTATAAATGTTAACCGAGAAAGTAAACAGATAAGCATGATGGTAATATGAAATCGAGATCATCAGTGATGTTTTCAAATGGACTCAACTGACACAGCTCTGGAGGGAGTAGTGTTTTAACTACTCATATGAACTGCGATACTCTTTTCAACAGTATTACAGTATGTAACATGTTCCCACACATTTCTTAAAAAGCCTCTCGGATTTTAGCGTATTAGTGTTTTAAGAGATGTCATGTAACAGAATGAACTGCTATTATAAGAATAGATTTTGAACACTAGTAAATTACAGTCCGTAATAGAATGATTTTATTTAATAGAACACTGTGATATCGTATAACTTAAACGTACATTTCATCACTAATCAAAATCAGTTACAGAAAACCAAGTAGCACTGGAGAGTTGTTTCGTCCTAGTTTGAGCTACTTCAGCAGTTAGTACCCATGACCCGAACAGGAATCGAACTTGAATTACAAGGCAAGCACGCTGACTATTTAGCCACCTGAATGGAAATTCAAGGACTTATGAATTTCAGCCAAATCCTGAGGGTGTTTTCAGAAGCCGTGGTCACCAGGATCCATCATGTCAAGAAGAAGTGGATACCTATTGACAGCACTGGTTAGAGGCAGCGCTTTATCCCAAATTGACGAAGTCAGAACTCATGAGTCAAAATGGTAAGAAAAAAGCCCAACGAGCTGACCTCGTGATATGAAGTCCTGCGGTTCGATTCCTGGTCCGGTCGTGGCTACGTACTGATAAGGAGTCGGAAGCTGGCTAGGAACAGCCATTTAGTGTTCTTTGGTATTCAGGGGTTCTCTAAATGATGTTGGTTTGTGTTGAAATACACTCTGAAATTATTACAGATCCCTGCAAAACTTGGTGACATTTCAAGTACAATTTGTTGCTAATGATTATCCTGTCAGTATCACTTTTGATTACTTCAGAAAGTTCTGTATGTGGAATTATAACGCCTTTGATGCTAACACTTAGTTAGCAGCAATGCTTATCAATTTTTTCATTGCTTAAAAAAGGGAACTTACCGTAATGGTTAATCTAAAACAACTTATATTCAGTAAATTGTTATTAAATATGATTTTGATTTTTAACATACAACTGCCGCCTTTAATTGAAAGTGAAATGGTTCTTACATACCACTGGATCATGTGATAAAATGGATTTAGAGGTGATATTCTGTACTTTTCTTACACACAAACCAGCGGTTTTTACATGGAAAACATGAAATATTGTAGGATGAATGTGTCTTCTATCACTATCATAAAAAATTGACCTCTTTTGAAATGTAACATCATAGTGGTAGTAATATTGTAAAACCTTAGATTAATTTCCTCTTTCTCAAAGATATTTGTGCATGTACATCTGCGCTATTTAACTGAACACACAGAACCATTTAATCATTCATTATTAAACAGACAAAAAGCACTTAAAAATCCATTATATAAAACTAAAACTTCTTAGGTCATTTGTTTATTTTCCTTCTGATAAACTAGTTAATCTGTTTCGGGTAAAATGCATAATAATAATTTCAATACAATATTTTATTACTAATGATTATTCTGTGAAAGCAATAAAAAAACACTTAACGTTTTTAAAAGAAGAGAAATTAATCTTCCCATTATGATAACCACAGAACACGATTTGAGGAAATATGTACTTTCAGCAAATTCTCATCGGGCTTTACAGTTAGTTACATAATCAAAATATTCATCATAAGCATCTAGAGACAATGTCGATCAATATAATCGAATGTAATCAAGTGGAATTTAGGTAGAATATGTATATTTTTGTAGGGGTAGAGAGGTAAGTAATTGATGTCACATAGGGATTAGACAGTATAATAATAATAATAATAAGTTGTGAAACTTAGCTCAAAATATTGATCTACGTCACAGTATGATATCCATAATAAAGCTGTCAGTACAAATAAAGACAAACATTTACAGATATCCGGTGTCACGTAAAGACATAACTATTCTGGGTTGAGGTTGAAGGCCAAAACAAGGAGAGGGATTGAACATACTTTTTCCGAGCATTTATAAATGTAGCCGATCTTGTGGAGACAGATACACAGGTAAAACGACACGGAGAACCCACCATCGCCACCTTAAGTAGTGTCAGACGTGGTTAGGAAAAGTAGTTGTTAAGTTAGTCAAGAGCTCCATATTTTTATTTATTTTATTTATTTTTATTTACAGCTTGATTCCACACTGTATTTTTGGTACAAGTATGGAATTTTCAGCATGGATATCGGTAGCCCAAATATTGAGGCCGACCATAGATATCAGGTATGCGTCGGCAGGGGATCGAACCTCGGACCATGTGCATGGTCGGCGAGAGTCCTAACCACTGTGCATACGGAGAAAAAGATTGATAAATAGCATCCAGCCTTTAGAATTCTATACAAGGTGTCACCTGAATTCCCTAGGTTCGATTGCTAAGCATAGCTGAGTCAGTCGCCATAATGAGTTTTCATCCTAATCTTTGTGTTCAGAATAACTCTGTTCAATCCCTGTCCTTCCTGTGGTTTTCAGCCCAACCTAGAACAGTCGCGGGATATCTGTAAATATAATCTTAATTTGTACTGCTAACTAACTTTGTTGTCTAATTATGTTGTGCTATGGTTGCATATCTTAGTCTTAGTTTCCCAATTTATTATTACTATTATTATTGATATGTTGTCTAATCGTTATGAGACAACTGTTATTTCCCCCTGTACTCCCCTAGAAGTACGCACATTCACGACAATTGACTAGCCAGATTACATGAGCACTTGAATCAATTTATCCTTGTTAATATTGTTAATATTATTATTTTTATTGTTGTGATCACCTCGATTGTTAACCCCCAATTCACATGCCTAAATTTTAATTCTGTTAACCACATTATGTTCAAATGTGTTTTATTATGTAATTGAAAAGCCTGATGAGAAATTGCCGAGAATACATATTTACTGAAATTGCGTCCTACAATTGTCATCCTTGGGATATTTAGGTTATTTACTGTTCAGTAGATTTACTATTACTTGTGATATCGATTGCTTAGTTTAGCTTGCTTAGTAGGGCTTTTTCAGGTACATAGACACCCCAGCACACACACGCACACTGTGGAAGAATACTACTCACTTGAGTGATGTCTTGGTCGTAATTTACTCTTGTTCATAATCATAACACCAAATGTAGATCTACATTTTCTCGGGTTTTGTAATTCTCCCTCTTCCTTCGCATTATTCGTAGGGGTAATAGTAGAACTTTCTTGATGTCCGGATGAGCGACTGGTGTTGATTCATTCAGATATGATGATTCATTCTTACTGCATGTATGACTGGATAAATATGGCTTCAGTTATCGATGTCTATCTTCTGCCATCCTACGCTGTGGTGGTGTGTAACTATATGCAGTGCTAAGGCTGAGTTGTTTTCTGGATTTCGTATCTTGGGGTAGCTGAGACAGATAAAGTATTAGTGTTGGTTGACCGCAGCACCCCTGGGTCGACTGCTTGAATTCGGTTACACACACATATGGCTTGTTTGAAGTTGTGTCCTTAAATAGGTTTTAAGAGTGGCCAGGTAATCTGGGATGTAGAATTTTTAGGGCGACCTTTTCTAAGCCACACCCCTCCACTGAAGATAGAAGAGACAGCATACCTGGCTTCCTCGTCATCTGAAGTAAACAGCTTACTCCTGTTACATACCCGTACCCGTATTCGCCAGCAGTCCGACTTCGCCCACAGATCACCAGCATAATTTAGACGACTTACACTTAGTGACGGTGACTGCCTTTGGTATATGTGCTATCCAAACGAGGTTTCTTGTATATAGTAGGGCCTGCAGGGAAATTAGTTCCAGCTGGTCTATTTATTGCTCGTAGGTCATTGTGATGTGTGATGCTGACCAGCTGTCAGTCGTGATGTCTATGTGAAACTAAGCCTAGCCTAAACGTTAACCTTAACCCCAGACATTAGAAGTGGATAACTTGGATCTGCAAGAAACTCTTGAAGCTAACCTTACACTGTGTTGATGACTAGTGTAAGATGATTGTTGTTTACTCGACTTCACTTTTGGTGGCTGGTATAGTTTATCCTCACTCGTAGTGTGTTGCATTCTGATTTAGCAAGATCTATTCCCGAATTGTTAATATTCTTTCGTAAGATTTCAGAGGTTCCCTGTTCGAATTTGCATAGGTGGCACTAGTAGTGTTTTGAATTCCCTCTTCTTGGTGTATTGTCAGTATACGTATCTCGACTGTGGATTGTCGTATTTTGATAATCTCACACATGCTTCCTGTCATAGATTTCCTTCTGTGCTATTTAGCTTGTTTTTCCCTACGATTTGAACATTTTTGCAATAAATCTTATAGAAACCTGAGTATCAGAGTTACCTAGTTACAAGTTGGATGTGATTTTTGAGGGGAATGTGAATATATTGTGTTTTTTTTTAAATATTCGTCAATGGATCTCTGTGGCTCATTGGTTTAGGCTATCGAATACTAACCAATGGATCACGGGTCCTCGTCCTCACTCCACCAACTGAGAGTGGTTTGGACAGCCGGGTGTTAGTGTCATTAGCCCTGACACATTGAAACTGGTGCCTATCCCTACAGTAAGCCATAATCTAAGTAACACTGGTAATTAATTATTGATGGTTGTGGTGAACATCCCTCCTGGGTCTTGATTCACGTTTCCCTTCCCTTCCTTCCTTCCTTTCTTTTCTTTGTTTCTAAAAACAAGCGCCTCATATTGTGGTTCATGGTGTGTCCGCAAGTCGGTGAACCACACCGCTGGACAAGACTTAATGAATAATAATAATAGCAATGATGATAATAAAGGTGAAGCAATACAAGGAACTAGCAACGTGGAATGGAGTCCCGAAGAAAAATGTCTATATGAAGTATTAGCTCCATTGTTTATCCCCTACGGGCATCCATCTTTTAATTTGCACAACTGGTGCTGTAAAATGTCGCAGTTACTTGGGATGAAGAAGTCTTCTGACGTAAGTTTTTCACGCTTTAGTGTTTTCTGTTAAGTGCGTGATATCTTTTGAACGCTTGCTTTTATCTTCTGAAGTGTGATGATGTCGTAATTGTGGTTGTTACTGACCTGTACCTACCTACTGAATCATAGGTACTTTGGCTGCTGTAGTTTTGAATAGGCTGGTAATACCGGTTCGGTCGAATTGACAAATTAATTGAAATAGCTTATTTTGGAATGGAAATAGTCTGCAGAAAGATTGACGATTCTTTTCATTTCATATCATTGTGGAGCTGATAACGAAGAACTACTTGGAATGAGAAATGTTTCCTCGCTCAGTTTGTCGTCATTTGTATTGGTTTTGTCACAATATTAGTAGACCCTTGAGTGACATTTGAATAATTGGGAAAGGTGAGTGGGGCGTTATTCCGGGTCGTCGGTGACATGGAGGTGGGGCTGGAGGGGTGGAGATCATACTAGGTGGAAATGAAAATTGTGAGCAGTGGTTGTACCAACTTGGATTGATAGCTGAGATCATAGTCCGAAGGGAATGTTATACTGATAGACGGCTCCCTATGTTTCACTAGGAACACAACTAACGAATAACAATAATAATAATAATAATAATCACAATATCAATGTAACGGGTTTCTAGTGAATAGATAAAACTTTTAAATTTCATGGCTCTCTTTGTTTAAATCCTAGCTTTTCAACTGGTTAACCAGCAGACTGTTTGCTTAAAATACACTTGTGAATGAAAGTCTCATATAAACTGACTGCAAAGTCGTAATTTTATCCTTGTGTTGCCTCTTTTTCACACACATGTTAAATTATTACCGTTATTACTGCTGTTGTTGTTATTATTATTATTATTACGATGATGATGATGATTTAGGTGTTGGCGTATACAAGTACACAGAATCTATCTACACTTCTACTCCCAGATGCTGGTTAGTTGAGTTCATTACGTATACCAGGTACTGATGGAGTATGGGGTCGATGGTCGGGTAGTATGGCGTCGTTAAATGATAAAGACTGCACCGGATCAGGATCATGTAGTGGAAGTGTTCATGATGATGGAGGATTTGGTGATGAGGTGTTTATGGCGAATGAATCGAGTAGTTCTAATGTTTTAACAAGAAATCCTCGTAAACGATCAAAAAAGCGTGTTAAAAAGAGCATGGCATAGGAATTACCAACTCCTCGTGAAGGGAGGTGGTTGGACTCTCTTCTATTTAGTGTTTGTGGACCGACTTCGATTCTCATATTAGTGAGTGATTAGGATTTGAGTGTCTTTGTGGAGTGCCTTGCAATGTGTTGTTTGTTCAACTCTGTTCACGAGACAAGTTATTTGGTGTTGCTACTGGTGTGTGTGTGCATGTGTGGGAGAGAAAGATAGGTGATGATGGTATCCAGTTCCACAGGCTTATGAAGTAGGTAGACCTGGAATCTGAGTCGGAACCCGATTAGATGAAAGGTGAGTGTTAAGCCATTGAGCTGATCTACGTGTTTTGTTTTCATTAATGCCTGGATGGGGATTATCCATGAATTGAAACGTAGCAAGGACCCCTCGACAGTCAAGGAACTCAATGGGTTTCTGCGGTACTCTGTCAAGCTTGCTGTGGGGAAAGCGAAAGTTGGCTTTTTCGAGGATTGCGTCTCCAATCATCAGTATCCAAAGTGGTTCTGGAAAGCACTGCGACGCAATCATATATATCCAAATACGAAGTCCCTTCAACGCCATGCAATGAATTGTGCTGATTCTATCAGATCACGTATGCCCGAACTGCAGCGGAATATCAATCAGAGGTCCTCTGCCTTATACGAATTGACTTCGGATGAACGTCAAAGATTCACCGAATATATCGACTTGGTTGCGAATAAACGGTCGCAGTCTGTCGTAACCCAGCTCAACAACAGCCTTAAGCAGATGAAACCTCAAGGCAAATTTCCTGACGAACCCACGAAGTTTGTGTTCAATTATTCCTCAGTACATTTAACCGACGTGCAACTGGAAGTCCTATCTCTGGGCCCTAAATTCTGCGATATAAATTTCAACTCCGACAAACTCCATACTCAGGTCCAGTTTGAAAATCTAATCAGCCAAACGCACGATCTCAGCCCAACTTCTGAAGACGAATTACAGAGATTCAAGTCAACAATCATGGACTGCTGCCACCAATACTTGAATTCAAAATCAAAAGTCCGCAACCACCTAACGAAGCGGCACCGAGAGGAATTAAAACAGTTGAGAGATAACAAAGATCTACTTATAACTCGACCCGACAAGGGTGCGGGTGTAGTGCTTCTGAATCGAAGAGACTACATCGAGAAAATGAACGATATACTGTCGAATGAAGACAAATTTTCCCAACCTTCCAATGAAAGAAACAAGACGGAACAGATTGAGAAGCAGCTCACAGATGTCTTGAAGAGAATGAAGGCCAGTCAACTAATCAGTGGGGATATCTACGATCAGATCCGGCCAACAGGTTCAATAATACCAAGACTTTATGGTCTACCAAAGGTACACAAGGTTGGTCTCCCACTTCGTCCAATTCTGGATATGTCAGGTTCCCCTTACCACTCTATTGCACAATGGCTAGCAGATATTCTGGAACCTGTAAGGAAGCAATTATGTACGTACTCGCTCCGTGACACCTTCCAGTTCATCGAGTGCATACAAGACACGAATGTATCTAACAAAATTATGCTGTCCTTCGACATCGAGTCACTTTTCACCAATGTCCCACTCACAGAAACGGTCTGCTTCATATGCAGATATATAGATGACAACCACCTCGATATTGGAATACCGACAACATACTTGAAAGAACTATTATTGAGATGCACTCTGAACGTCCAGTTCACATTCAACGACACCATCTACAGACAAAAGGATGGTATTGCAATGGGATCTCCGTTGGGTCCACTACTATCAGATTGCTTCGTGGCAAGCCTCGAGAGAGGTTCACTAAAGCCAAGCATCGACAATTTGCGACTGTATAAAAGATACGTGGATGACATTTTCATTATTTGTGACAACAACAACGACCCCAATCTGCTGCTGAAGACATTTAACAATTGCCATCCAGCAATAAAATTCACTCTTGAAATGGAAAACGAGTCAAAAATTCCGTTTCTTGATGTGGAACTGACAAGAAGAGCTGATGGGAGCCTAAGAAGATCAATCCATAGAAAACCTACGTGGAATGGTCAACTAACAAGCTTCTATAGCTGGGTGCCCATTCAACAAAAGCGAAACTTAATTAAATCACTTGCTACCCGCATCCGACGCATCTGTAGTCCCGACGTTCTGGAAACAGAATTAGATATTCTGAGAGAAATATTCATCCAAAATGGATACCCAATAAGATTTATCGACAAAAATATGAAACCAATAATTCGGAAAAACGAAACTTTAACTGTGCCTAAAAAGAAAATCTACATGAATTTGGATTTCAAGGGAGATTTAGCAAGCGATATTCTCAAGAGAAGGATCACATCATCTCTGAGAAGAACGTTCTTTGCAGCAACGCTACGAATAGTGTTCTCCAGTCGCCCACTGATCTGCAGAAGCCTCAAGGACAAGATCCCGCATCTGGCCACTTCTATGTGCATATACCAGTTCACCTGCTGCTGTGGAGCCAGGTACATCGGTCGTTCGACGCGCATCCTGTCCAAGAGAATTCAAGAACATTATCCAGCATGGTTGCGAAAAGGCAATACTGGTGCAATAAGGAGTGCGATAATTGAACACCTGGTCAACACTGATCATTGCATTTCAACGAACGCCTCCTTCAAAGTAATCTACAGAGTCAAGAATAACATATCAAAGGCAATACGGTTTCGTCTCCTTTGCATCGCTGAAGCTCTGGCCATTCACATGGAAAAACCGGAGCTGTGCATACAAAAGAAGATTACTCAACCACTTCTACTCTCATGGTAACAATGTTTTGATTTGTTTTGAGCTTTTATTTTTATTTTGATGACTTAATTTTGTTTCTTTGCCTGTTCCTTAATTGCTTATAATTCTTGTATTCACTTAAATCTCTTACATAGTTTCGTATTATCTACTTTGTTTCTATGTGCATCCTGAGTAAAACTCACTCATCAAACTATTCATATTATTATTGCATAACTTCTTTTAACAACTGTTTGTGACAACTCATCACCTTTGTTACTACCCTAGCACTTAATGGTCTTGACTTATATTACCAACCTTTACCTGTTTAGTTAAAATAACCTTAAGCAATTATAATTCTTGTATCCACTTAGATCTCTTACATAGTTTCGTATTATCTACTTTGTTTCTATGTGCATCCTGAGTAAAACTCACTATTATTATTACAACTGTTTGTGACAACTCATCATTTTTTTACTACCCTAGTTTCATTAGCACTTAATTAAAAAAAAATTCTTGACCAACCTTCACTTGTTTAGTTAAAAGTAACCTTAACCAATTGTAACTTTGTTTGACAAACTTAATGTACACATACATACAAAACAATGCATATATATTTGCGATTGTACAGCTAAGAAAATGAATTCGCCGAAAAGAGACTCTTCGCTGATCTACGTGTTTTGTTTTCACTATTTTGTTCTGGTGAGACATTATGTTATAAAATAATAAAGGTCTCTAGTAAGTAAGCCTTTAACAAACATTCTATAAAACACTCAAAATGTTATTTTGATGATGAAATAAGAATTTTAACGTGAGATTAAGTCATAAATTACTGACAATTTACAATAGATTAACAAACATTTTACCCTGAAATTGACTAATATGTTAACAGTTGGTAACTTGACTGAGTAAACTGCTTAAAAATTCAACGCTTACAAAAGCTAAATCAGCTGTGGTTCGGTTTTCCTTTTGGTTTACGTTTGGTCCAGATTGTCGATGACAAATGAAATTTGAAGGACAGTTAGAAATACACTGGCCGCCAACAATCCGAAATGAGCATCTTGTGGACTAAAACATGAGATAATCGTTCTTTGTACCTGCCCGTTCAACGATTTTTTGTAGAATTCATAGTTCAACAACTGTTTTATTTGGTTTATTTTTAATGATAAAGTATAGTAGACATCCGTTTCAACTACACGTATAATGCCTGTGAATAAGGCAAAAAGATTTATATAAGTATGTCAGTTTGCTCTGCATAAACTCAAAAGCAGTAATTCGCCCTTGTGACGATCAAAGTAGAGTAAACAGGTGTGTGTGTGTGTGTTTCAGACGCCTAACTAACGCTTGAGAATGTCGCGTTCTACTCACCAATATATGGAAAACTACAAGCTTCAGTTAAATACTTTTTTACATAAGGCACAAGTTATACTTCATGGACCACTAGGGCGGGTCCCAGTGGCTTGATAGTCTACGAGCTCGCCTGGGTCCTGTGTCTGAACCCTGGTAGTTGGTATTAATGGATTAAGTGTCCCAAATGAGAATGAAACAGCTGTCCAGTACTTCTTTACAGATTCTACAATCAATCTCAAACCGATGTCAGCTCATGATGAAATCCTGAAGTAAAATTAAGCTGTTTAAATGTCTAGAAGTGAGGTTGTTTCCATGCCCAGCAGTATAACTTTCAATCATAATGTGAATTTGAAGCCGAGTGGCTGAAGATAGAAAGGGTAAAAAAATAGCAATACTGAAAAACGAATTTACTTTGGTTACTCATAAAAGTTTATTCACATGAATTCTATGTTTATGAACGAGAAGCTGAATCTGAAATCCATCAGATTAGTGGATTTCTAATCAACATGACGTTGAATTCAGTTTAATGAAAATAATTCTTCATATATTTATGCCATTCAAATCGAGAGTGATATTGTTCCTTTCATGACATAAGCAATAGAAACTCATTTGGGTTCCGCTCTAATCTAAAAATTAAGTTGACAGACAGTTTTTCAACTCGATTATTTTACTTCTTGTTTACAATTTGAACTGCGAAAACACTACTTATCGAGTGTCATTTATGCGCCATGGTAATTCCTTCCATACCTACCCTTCGCTTCTCTTTCTTTTGTATTTAGCTTTATATTACTTATCACTAATAAGTAGTCTAAGTTTATATTCCGTTACTCCATAACCGTAACGGTTGCTTGTTATTGAAGATTATCTCTATATATTAATATTATATTCGACGATATATTGCAACTATCTTCTTACAGTTAAACAGTATCTGCTTTATATGCCTCGTTTATGTACTCCTGCCCGTTGCACACTGTCTTTTCAAAGCCCTATATTCTTCGTCTTGCATTCGTTCACTGTTTAATCCGACCGTGAACTGCCCTTGACTCAGCTTTGCTGTTTTTTCTTACTGATGCACAGGGATTGTGCATTTAATGGGGTTCCGCCTTGGACACCGTAAAATTTGAGGTGTTTGATGTAGTATCTTACTTAAAACAAATCCTGTGTTTTGGATTATACTCGTAACTCAATGTGTGTTTGAATTAGTCGATTGGATTATTCCAAAGGAGTTTTTAGAAGAAATCTACATGTACATCGTAATCTTGTTTGCAATCTTGTTTAGCCAGAAAATACTGTATATTGTTATGAATGCATATACGGAATGATGAAATTCATAATTTAGAGTCCTTAGTATACAGTTATGTACATTGTGAGTGATTTTAAAACGATTGTGTGAAATTTAGGCCCATTTCTACATTTTATTGGTGTACTGACCATGTTTATCTATTGTTTTAATACTAAGTAACTACTGGTTCTCCAACAGTCACATCAAGGGTGAAAATGACATGCTAAAACAGTGTGATTAGGCTTAGTTCAGTGACACATTTCGTGAAACTCAACATTTTCTGTTCTTATCTTTCTGAATATCTACTAAATGATAATAAATTTGAAACAACTACTTCCATTTATGAATTTCATCAAAGCGTTAAGGAAACATAATTTATGTGGATCATGTAATGTATTTGCGTAACACATTTCGAATAGTCTAACCAAAGACGTACTTGTGGTGGAAATATATGTGAAAATAATGAAGCTTTAAGGGGGGAGAATAGACATAGACAAAGTTAGAAGGCCAAACTGAGGATCAAAAAGAAAATAGAAATCACTAAACCGAAGAAGGGACGTAATAGTACATCTGCTTTGGTATCAAAACGAAGTTTACCAAGGAATGTTTAATGTGATAAAGAACTGTTTCTGAACACATATAGGTGGGGGCTAAGCCTTCCACAACTTTGGGGATACTCTCCAAACATGTGTAAACATAATTTTTATACCCTGTCTCTATAATGTATCGCATCAGCGGAACTAGATGGTCTGTTCTCACCTGTGAATATTCGTTGAATTTTAGGAAAGGGGCACCTCACTAGTAGATCCCGACCGAAAGCTGCTACCTTGACGTGGTGGTCGGGCTTGAACACCGCAACTACCCAACAAGCTAGACTGGCTAAGACTTATGTCGCTTGAGGTCCTACCATGCAAGAAAGTTTGTTTGGATAGCGGTTAAACAAAAAGCAGCTACCTCATCCAATACCATGATTCAAACAAATTCACAAAATATCATGCCGGATCGGCCGGGGCCCGGATTAACAACGACCGCGCTTCCTGCTGCCGTGTCACAGGGCAGAAGTGATAAATATGCTACTGAGACACACCAAACAAAAAAGAACAAACAAAACCAGGCCGCGTGTGACCGGCCTCAAGCAGTTATCCTCTGGGCTCTGTGGTCACGCAACCAACTTCCACAGTTTGGGCAGCCGGGAAGTAACAACCGCCCATACACTTCCAAAAGCACACGAAGCCTTCCTGAGCATTATTCCCCTTCACTCACATCACTTTTCTCATCTTGCTTCTCTACTACACTTAGTACTATTCTGCAGGCTAATGAGTCTTCACTTCACTCTGTGACCACGAACAACGGTGAAAGCCATAGAAACACCCCAGACAGCCTTTTAAAGCCACGTCACCAACTTCATATATGAGCATTTAACGTCAGGACCCTCTTCCAAATCGGACAACAAGCATCTCTAGCAAGAACTCTGGAATCTCGAGCCATAGATTTATGTTGTATTTCGGAGACACGCATACAAGACCCGAGTGTGGTCATTCACTTGACCTCACTCGGTCAACAAAGTGAGTCTGCAAAATTCACTTTAAGGGTGTCAGGAGACCCCTCAGTTAGCTCGCGAGGACTCGCATGTGTAGGGATAGCACTGAGTGTTAGGGCGGAAAAATCACTTCTTGACTGGATCCCAGTAGAAGTCGTATGTGTGCAATCCGTCTGAATGGGTCCGTTAAAAGAAGGAAAGACGGTGCAACCCGTCGTTGCCTTTTCGTAGTCTCCGCTTACGCCCCAACAGACTGCAGTTCGGATGAGCTAAAATATGACTTCTGCCTGAAACTGTCTAGTTTGCTGCAAACAGCAAAACGCTTAGATATAGTTGTTTTAGCAGGCGACTTCAATGCCAAAGTAGGGAACTTGTACCAGACTGAGAAGTATGTAGGTGATACGTATGGAGTCCCCTGCCGACGAACCGACAACGGCGATCGTCTTCTGCAGTTCTGCTCAGATAATCATTGTTTCTAGTCAACACTAACTTTAGGCACAAAAAGAGACATCACCAAATCAACACTGGACTCAGGGAGACCACATAGCGATAGGGTATCGTTGGCGAGGGTCAGTGGAAGACTGCCGCTCCTTTTGGAACACGTGTGTAGACTCTGATCACGCTCTGGTTCGCGCACGTTTATGCTTACGACTAAATGGGCATAAGAAATTGATGGCAGCGAAACAGTTACGTCTCCAACTAGATCGAGACACTGAGTCCTTATTTAAGGAAGAAATAGCGAAACGAGTGTCTGAGGTCGACAGCAGGACTTCCCCTGATGTAGCCTGGCACAACATGCAGTTAGCTGTAGACACAGCTGTGAAGGCTATTTATAAGCTAAAACCTAAAGCTAGTAAAAGCCATTGGATCTCTACTGCCTCATCCGAACTGATTGAAGAAGAGACTGATTCCGGCGAGCTCCGATTATGATGAGGAGTGAAAGCTACCCAAGCAAAAACTAACGAAAATTCTTCGCAACGACCGTGAACAGTGGAGATGGAAAAGGCATCTGCGATTAGCATCAACAGACAACTATTTAGATTCATCAGGGAAACAGGTGGCAAAAGGCAAATGATAAGTGAAACAATCTCTGAGAAAAATGGCACCATAATCAGCTCCCAGGATAAACGACTGGAACGCTGGAAAGAGCACTATGAGGAGCAGCTTAATTGTCCTACAGCCACGCGTAACCTGCCGAACACCCAATATTTACCTGAATGGGATATAGACACAGCTCCTCCGTCCCTAACTGAGGTCACTAAAGCTGTCACCAATCTGAAACAAGGCAAAGCAGCGGGACCTGATGGAACGGTGGAGACAGTTTACTGTCTGCATTAACTGAGGTTCTAGGCAGAGTCTGAGAATCACAGGAAGTCCCATCGGGTTGGTGTAAGTCACTGATCATCCCGATATACAAGAAGGGAGACTTGTCTCCCTATGATAATCAGAGGGGGATTAGCTTGACTAATATGGTGGTATCTAAAGTACTAGGCTCAATAAGTATGCGTAGACTGAGTGGTGCTTGGGAGGCACAAACACGAGAGAGCCAGGCAGGCTTTAGACCAGGAAGAGGGTGTATTGATCACATCTTCACCCTCCGACAGATTCTAGAACATAGACATTCCTACCGGCGTCCAACAATCATTATATTCCTTGACCTAAAGGCGCCATTGGATTCTGTCGACCGAGAGGTTCTCTGGCGATGCTTGGCTGTAAATGGAATTCCGAGAAAATACATTGCACTGATCAAGTCACTTACTCTACTCGAACTCATGCAGCCAAGTGAGAGCCTACGGCGAGTTGTCATCTGAAGTGGTGGCGACTAATGGTGTCCGTCAAGGATGCCCATCATCCCCATTTCTATTCAACTTAACCCTAACTCACTTCAGCGACTCAGAGATTGACTTGCCACCACCAGGGAATAATCTCGTTGAATTAGAATATGCAGAAGATATAGTCCTTCTAGGCGAGGACGCTGACAAAATGCAGACATCGTCTTCTGAACACCTTGAGCCGCAATCTACGAATGTTTGGCATGCGATTCGCTCCCGCCAAATGCAAGATGATGTTACAGGACTGGAGTACACCGACTCCTAGATTAGAAATAGGGAATGAAGTGGTAGACATGGTTGAGCGCTTCACTTATTTGGGAAGTACCATCATTCAGTGCCAATGGGTTGATCTCTGGCGAAATCTCATCACGGATACAGAGGGCTAGTTTCGCATATGCCAGTAGACAAGATATCCGACTATCGAGCAAAGGGCGGGTGTACTGCTCATCAGTCCACTCCTTCCTCCTTTATGGCTGCGAGACCTGGCCATTGCGAGTGGAAGACATGGAAAGATTAGCTGTCTTCGATCATAGGTGCCTGCGCTCCATCTCTCGTGTGAAGCGGTATAATAGGGTGAGGAGTACTGTGGTCAGGCGTCGAGTGCTATGTCAGCAGGGGAAATCAATCGATGAGGTTGTGAAGTTACATAGACTGAGATGGTTAGGACATGTGTTACGTATGCCTAGTCATCGCCTTCCTCGACGGACAATGTTAGCTGATATAGGACTGGTCAGGCTGGAAAAGAGCTAGCGGCGGTCAAACCAAAACATGGCACCAGTCAAGGAAATCTACAACAGTTAGTCTAAGCCGCGTAAGAAGGTGTAGACTTCCTGACTCGTTGGGGTCTCCGGGACGGTAAAAACCAATGGTTGGAAACTATTGGTGACATGGCTCAAAACCGTTCTCAATAGCTGGTGCGGAAGCATCCACTCCCTGTGACTTATGATTTCCAATGAAACTGTTTTGTTCTTCGTTTTTACTATTCCTTTGTCTCACAGCTCTGTTTACTGTCGCTAATACGCATTTCTTCTAGTTTCTTCTCTTGATTTGTGTGCTACAAGGAGAGAGTGTGGGGACTTGAACTCCCGCACATTGGTGCGAAGTTCTATGTCGGAAACAGACAGACATACAGACAATAATGGATCTTTTGTCTCGAACAGGAGAGAAGCTGTGGTGGGTTTTCTATAAACAGGTCGTTTTATTGACCAATTAGGCCGTCGATTAAGCAATATATCTAGGAAAGATAAACAACTATCTTTCTCTTCTACAGACGTAAGTGATATGCTATTTCGAAATTTATTCACTTGATTAAAAATTCCAGTGACAGAACAAGGCTTATCTCATATGATTACAATGACAACGATATATCTTTAAAGTGGTACATTTTCAGTTGAATCTTTCGATTAACTCTCAGTGTACGACATGTAGATATCTGCTAGCGGGGGCGCCCTAATATACTTTTCATAGTAACACTATCAACTTGATGGAAGCAATCGCCTTGAAATGTGAGTCTGACATTGCTAGTGCATAGAAGCAATAAATCGCTTAAATAATTATGTGTGGAAAAGTAATCACACAAAACGTCAATTGTTTCAAATAAATATGCTACATCAATGAATAAAAAGTTCCCATCAGAAAAATACATATTTCCATTTACAATATTAATACTATCAATAATAAATTAACTTTTCAATGTTTTTTCAGATAACAACATCTAGGCAGATACCACCTACCGTTTCCTATAAGAATGACAATCAAAGTGAGTAAAATGATTGTGTCTTGACCTGTTATTTTAAAGTGCTTCGTGCATACTAGGAAGCCAGCATAAACTGAAGTAAACGCATCTAGTGGCCATATCATTTTCAAGTTTGCCCATAGATCTTTTAATTTTCCCACTAAAAGACAATAAATAAATAATAATTAGTTCGTTGATGTTAAGAACACAAATCATTTGATCAATGGTTTGTAAACTGGACATTTGAATTACCTGGGGCTAGACATTTAGTCTTGCATACAGATAAATACAAAATAGGACTCAGATCATTGACAGTTCATATTTAAAATAAATATCTCGGCTGGGGCGATTATATTACATCTTCTTTTTTTAAGTGGAGCCACCACTTTCAAAAGAGGAATGTGCCGTATAATCGTCTGAATTGATTTAAGTAATTTTGAAAATATTACTCAAAGATCTTGTTCAGTGAAACAACAAGAACAAGCTGCAACAAAAGTGACTCACAGATTTTCCAATGTGTATAAGGGGGTCGAACTTGTGCTGTTAATGTTCATTGGTGCAAATCTTCGTCACACCAGGATGTTTGTCTTATTATTCATTTAACGAAAATTTGTTGTAAAGATGAAGAAAATCTTTAGTCAGATATTCATAAATTCACAGTTTGAAAATTTCGTGAAGGTAACGAAAGAGAAGTATCCTTTAGCAAAGAAAACGGCTGAAAATGACATTTCAAATCCAACGATACTTAGTTCCTGTAAAAGAGGCTTAGGTGTGACTAAGGACCAAACATCAGCTTGGCATTAACTCACATAAAACCTGGGAATGTCATTCCTAGCACAGAAGTACCATTAAGTTATTGCTTACTATCACTAATAACTAACTCATAACACTGTGTGTACACGTACTGAGACCAAAACCACAAGGAAACTAGATTTGAAGAAATCAAAAGTACTAGCTTCAAAAATATCTATCAAAAGACAACTCTATGGCAACTGTCAAATCTGATAATGGCGACTGGAGGTCACTTACGAACCTCCTGAAAAAGTCAGTGGAAATTTTCAGACACGCTTTTACTATCAAATTTAAAAATCTACAAGAAGATTTATGAACAACATTAATAAGCACAGAATGGATCTTGTTCATAAGGTGAAACTATAATTAGCTCATGTATGCTTTAAAAAAGTGTAAAAACTTAAACTAATGCACCTTTGTGAAAGATTTTTACAAATATATGTCACTCTATTGAGAGGCTGTAGTCCATACACATTCTTTTTTTATTTCACTTAGACATTTGAAAATGCAGCTGTTAAGAACAAACAGATGAAATCTTTTGCTTCAAACACTTGAATGAAGCAGAATATAGGCGAATTATTACAAAATACAATTGTTAAGTTTTCACTAAGCATCCAGTATTCTAGAATACCAGCCATTAGTAGTTATAAGCTTTATGATATGCACGACACTGGAATTAACATGGATAAAAATCAACCGAAAAGAATTTGAATAACAATCTTGCCATGGTTCAATATCTGCGGATTAACATATTCAGAAATGAAGAGATTCACTAATTAAAAATTGAAAATGTATAAAATTCACTCTCACATATTACTCTCTTAACAATCAGTGTCAACGGAACAGATATGAAGGAGTTCACTTTCCCCCCTTGTCTACAGAATATCATTTTAACTATAGGATGAACAGATAAGAATGTCAAAATCAGAATCATTTTGCAAATCTGATTTGCTCACCGTAAAGAACGAAAGTGGGATTTTCAACACCAATGTTAAGTTAGTCGCCTGTTCTATATGGGTCACAAACGTGGCTCACGCATCACGAAAAGCATTCCCAACAGGCCAGTGAAGACTTTTATCAACAGCTGCTTTCACTGGCTCCATGCTAAAGGTCAAATGACCAGAACAAATTAGCAACAAGAAACTCTGCCACCAAATTAACCAAGAGCCTATCGCTCAACACACATTTTTTTTGATCGCAGCTTGATTCCACACCGTATTTTTGGTACAAGTATGGAATTTTCAGCGTGGATATCGGTAGCCCAAAATTCGCAGGCCGACCATAGATATCAGGTGTGCGTCGGCGTGGACTCGAACCTCGGACCATGTGCATGATCGGTGAGAGTCCTAACCACTGTGCCACCGACGCACATAGGTAGAACAAAATGGAGATGGATGAGACACATGCTGAAGAGACCATCGGATGACATCGTGCGCCAGGCAATAGCTTGAGTGGAATCCGAATGAGAAATGAAGAGCTGGGCATTTATCTGAGAGTGAGATGAGGAAGGTCGAAGAGGAGTAAATAACAGACTATGGGTAATCGTATGGCCAGTTGAAGAGGACCGCAGAGAATACAACAAAGTGGAGGTGTGCTGTTATATCCTACTTTCCGCTTGGAACCCAAAGAAACGTTAGTAATGATAAAGACTAATTATGCACCAAAATTACCTGTATGTATTGAAGTATTTCGAAGCTCCGCTGAATTTAATAAATTTGTTCCATTGTTAATGAAGTCCTCTAAAACCATCAATCCATTTTCATGATCTGATAATGAGAAATGGTATGTACGAGTGGTTTCAATACAATCTAATTGAGTTTTGTTACAAAATCTGGATGATTCGAAAATATTGAATTTCAGGAAATTTTTGCTGAACATTGTGAACAGACATGAAATAATCGATACAATGGACAATGTAATCATCAAAAATCTACTTAGAAAATAATGTTTTTTCGTCTCAACCGGTTTTCATCTTCGCGCAGACTTATATAATCTGACTGTACAGGTGATAGTGATTTCACGTTATCCTCAGATAGTATTTGCATTATGGATAAGTAGTTCATTTTCAATTTCCTATTTTTATTTATATCTTTTCTCCACTTTAAACAGAATGTTGATATAAAAGGTTCAATTATCCTTCTACTTTCAAGTGGTTTGTAGTATACTAACAGAAATGAATAAATTATCCATAGGATATCGAAAGTTTGAATCGATTGATTAAATTATTGACAGAGTTTTAATTGAATTACCGCAGATACTGCCTTGGGTTAGGCTAAACATTGTCATGATGGATTTTTGCGCAGTGTATGGGTTATCCCGTTCACGCCTATAGAGACGTTATAACCGCTGTTTTGTGAAAATAGATTATGTTTGACTAGTTTTAGGCTTCTGTAGCCGAAAAAAAGCAATATTTTGCCGTATTTTGTTCGTAGTAGTAAAATTGTCTTGATAGCCCAGACCAATTATTACTAAAAAAAGTCATCACTTTTAAGAAGTTTGCATAGAAAGACTGTTATTTGTGTTTCAGAGCCCGAGGCTTTGTTGTTTGAGAGTTGTTTTAGATCTTTTGGTTGTAAATTGACTACAGACAATGGTTGTCGTCATCCCAGTTATTCTATGAGAATCGGGCATTTGAAAGAGAAATATTTTTATTTTTGATTACAGCTTGATTCCACACTGTATTTTTGGTACAAGTATGGAATTTTCAGCATGGATATCGGTAGCCCAAATATTGAGGCCGACCATAGATATCAGGTATGCGTCGGCAGGGATCGAACCTCGGACCATGTGCATGGTCGGCGAGAGTCCTAACCACTGTACCACCGACGCACATTTCATTATATTCCTTCTGCCCGGTTTTATGTGAACTTTTGTTGATTTATGGCAATTTGAACAGATGCACTTTTGTGCTAAATTCAAATATATTTTGACCTTTTGTTCATGTACACTGCTTTGCATTATTTTGATAAAACTGATCTATGTCAGTGTTGTTTCAAAAACCGACATCATTTAGAGGGAATTACTATTAAACCAGATAGTACTGAATGCCTGTTTTGTCCTAATTTGGGACTCTTCAGTAGTATATCTCTGTCCATGACCTTTCCCTCGTGCCTTTGGACTATAATTTAATATTAACCCGTCGACCATTCAACCACTCGAGGGGGATGGGTATTGAAATCCAATCGCCCAAGAATTTACACTCCAGAGAGCCATTTTATTATATCAATGTGCTTTTTGACTTCAGAAATAAAAATAGCAATGGTGACTCCCGCAAATTTAAAACAAACAGCCAAGAGAACACAACACTACAGCAATATCATCTGCATGAGTTCAAAGTACTTCACCACTTCTAGTTTAGAGAAACAACATTCATCAGCGGAAGAAGCATTCTTTATTTTAAGTATTGGTTTGTAGGGAAATGATTGATTCGTTACAGGATTTCATCATGAGCTGACACCTGTTGGTTAGAGAACCATCGGAAAACCACCTGGGTGTACTGGACATCCAGATGTTTCGTCAGCCTAGTTTGGGACTCTTCATCAGCACACACCCACCACAGGGGGTTCGAACCCAGGACCTTCTGGTTACAAGGTGGCTTCGCAGTTTCTCAGGACGTTGTCCTCCTTCTGAATAGCCCATAGACATAAGTTAAATGTATGTTTTGAGGATGTTAAATACTTCTGTTATCATTCGTGATGAATGAAATATTCCATAACACATCGAAGAGATCATGCGATGAATGAGACAGGCTGTTGAGTTTCCTGGTCATTATATCTATGGCGCATATCTTTAAAGCATTTATTATTAAACAAATTATCTGTAGGGATTTTTTGATTTTCAGGTTACAATGCTTCAGTGTATGTAGTTACTGCATGCTATTGTGCTTGAAGGGACAGCTGATGAAAATGAAGATAGAATAAAGTTTCCTATAAACTCACTATGAATACTGCAAACTGCTGATATGAAACTACATCAAAGGAAAAAATTCCGAATAGCTAGAAAATATTGCTACAGTTTCGATGATTATTACCTATTACATTTGTAAATCATCTTTCCAAAGTTCAAAATGACGCCAAAACGTCAATGCTACCCCATAGGCCCTACAGAAATTTGTGAGAGGTCTTACATGTCAGGACCATGCATATGGTCTGGGGTTCGACCCCCTGCCGACGCACACCTCATTTCTATGGTCGGCCTGCAAAATTTGGGCTACTGATACCACATATTAGTTTATTTATTAGATATATCACACAGTGAAACAGTATTATTTACTGGATGACGTTTCGAACAAAATTTATTGTTCTTAATCATATCAATTTTAATCACTCGACTTTGAGACTTGAGTTTTATAGTTTTCTTTGTTTTCTCCTATTTGTCATGATGAGTCATAACTTATCATGACTCATCACCTGTCCCTGACATCTGGAAAATTCTACTACCCCTACGACAAATAGGAGAAAACAAAGAAAACTATAAAACTCAAGTCTCAAAGTCGAGTGATTAAAATTGATATGATTAAGAACAATAAATTTTGTTCGAAACTGTGTCATCCAGTAAATAATACTGTTTCACTGTGTGATATATCTAATAAACAAACTAATATGGAATTACTTACTACCACAGTGCCCAAGTTTTACACATATATTAATACTGATATCACATGCTGAAAATTCCATACCTGTACCAACAAATACGGTGTGGAATTAAGCTGTAATAAAAAAATATCGATAATTGTATTTTATGCCATTTCGCAGTTTCTCAGGACGTTGTCCTCCTCCTGAAATAGCTTTTAATTACGTGAGGGCATAGCACTTACCCAAATATACAGTGTTCATTGTGAAGGGTTTACAGTTGAACACTTATCATAACCTGTTCTAATTTCTCGTACAATAATTGAACAACTTAAACTTTTGGAAAAGTATTAATTTATGATACTTAACGATTGCAGTTTATAACATAACTTATTGCACCTGTAGAAATGACATGCATTCTTTGCAAACACTCGATTATACAACATATTAAATTATTATTATTATTTGCTTGGTGCTATACTTTGCATGAAAAATGTGTGTGACAGTGAAAGCCACAGAAGAATGCTGTCATGACCGAAGAATGAGAAAGGAGAATGAACCTTTTTCAGCAAAGGTAGGCAAATATAAAGCGTTTAACTTTTATATTACTTCTTTATAACTTCAGCGACTTAAAAAATACACTTTATTCACTTATTTGCAGATATCCGGTAACATCATTCAACCTGCTCATAGCAATTCGACATCGCCGAAATAATTACGACAAACACTGCGTAAAGACATTTGCTTGTTATTATTTCTCAATAAATATATTTAACATCCTGCTTACCATACTTTTCTTATTCTATCTGAATGAAACTAAATTTGTCATCATGACGAGATGGAGGCCTGACTTATCAATGAGATCTGAGAAAGTAATTGTTGGCATAATCCAACGTAAGCGAAATCTTACTACGATCGCTACAGCTCAACCTATTCAATTATTCGTCTCTTGTACACTTCACCTTACACTATAAGTTGACACCCATAATCATATGGATTGATATCACGCTCTAAGTGAAATAATGGTAATGCACTACTTTTGAATACACTTAACCTTATACGAAATCGAACTCAATTGCGATGTCTAAGTTCTTTTCTTATTTTTCAAATACTGAAGTTAAGTATTTTTGTCCTTGGTCCCTACAGACTCACCTATGACTAGGAGACGTAATTGCGTAACTTTAGGCAGATGTTTAGGCTTGACTAAAGTACTCATAATTCACTGCTTATATCGATCGATAGCGTTGCTACAGAAATACACTTATGCATGCTAACGAGTTCATATCCTAGGGAGTACCGGTCTAGCATGCCGTACTCTCACCGCATGCAGAACGAATAGAACATAAGAATATTAGATAGATAATTTTATTTCACTGCAGCACAAACAAGTTTATTTACATGTATTAACTAAGCACAGTCCAAGATGAAAGTCTTCGTTTGCAAAGTATCTCCCATTATTCGACGGAAACTGCCCAGTGTCCAAATTGCGTCACGTTTAAATTCTTCCAAAATTCAAGTAAACAGAACTCCATGCCCACATCCAAAGCTATCCGGTATCACAAACTGCAAAACAGAATATCTGCATGATTATACACGAATGAGTGAACTTACCTTCACTTGTTGTTGCATGTAGAATCAATTCCTAATACTGATTATGTAAATGTATCTGGTTATAAGTCGTAAAACGCTCATCACTGTTTTTCGGATATCTTTGTCCGAATGCAGCTACATCTGCTTCCACTGAATTTAATTAACTGACAGACCTCATTGCGACTTATCATTCCTAAAAGTGATACAGATTAAATTCACTTGAATAAATTAAGCATTTACATAATTAACATGCATGACCATATATAAGTATGAGTGAAGTTCAGTCTTCCTAATTTACACTCCTTTTGAAATGTGGAGCACGTTAATGGTGCAGAAATATCATGAACATTCAGATTTATTGGTTGAGGATGGAAGGCTTGGATCCTATGTTAATCCTTTTCTAGTAAATTTCTGTGGTTGTTCAAACCCTTCTTGAACCAATCAGTTGAGGTCGCAGACACCACTTCTTCTGGGAGTCGGTTCCAAGAGCCTATGACTCGGTGTGAGAACCAGTACTCAACAGCAACATGATTTCTTCTCGGCTTTTGAACACTCCTGCTATGTCCTCTGAGGTATTCCGACCTGGTAGGAGGGAAAAGAGAGAATAGGTCAGGTCCGTAGTCATTATTTAAAATTTTTAACGTTGTGATTAAATCTCTCTGCCTACGGTATGACAGAGAGAAAGGATTTAAACTGTCTAGTCTTTCCTCGTATGATAAGTTGGTGTGGTGATTGACTATTTCTATCTTTGTATTGTTTAAATACTTACTGTTGATTGTTAATATTTCATATATGAATTGCATTATAATTCCGCTAAATACAAATTCCTGAATTCCGCCCTCTCTGTGTTTTGTTTGGATTCTTGTAATTCGGTCATCTTGAAATACTAATACTACGACTACAAAAAATTACTACATATTGGCGTCGCGATGGAACTAAATAACCTGGGAAAATTTCCTATAAATGGTTCTCCGCGGGAGATTGCTAATTATTTTGAATGCTTCGATGCGTGGTGCATTTCAAAGAATGTTCGGGATGACAAAATACCAGCACATTTCATCACTGCTATTGGGCTAGATGCATATAGCCTAGTGAAGACTCTGTCGTTTCCAGATAAACCCATTTCTCTGTCATATGTCAAGATTCGTGAACTTCTGATAGATCACTTCCATATAACTACTTTTGAGACACGAGAGAGGGCTCAGTTCAACAAACTGGTACGTTCTCCCAACCAGAAGATTAGAGACTTTATTCTTCAACTCCAAATACAAGCTTCAAAGTGTAACTTTGGAGATCAGCTGCATACTCAACTACGTGATCGTCTAATTGCTGGAATCAATATTCCTAAGTTAGAGAAAGAGTTAATTCAGATTCCTTCTTGTACCTTTCAAACTGCTAAAGATTTATGTATTACATATGAAGATGTCAATAATGAATACTCTGCTCCCACTACGTCAGTATCTGATGTCATGCTTTCTAAAGTCGAAAATACAAGTGGTCATGGAAAGCAATCCAAACTGCCGTCCACAGGTAATAGAATGCAGCCAGAGATCAAAAACATTAAACCGTGTTTATCCTGTGGAAAGTTACATCTACGAAGCACTTGCCGTTTTCGGGGTGCTAAGTGTCACAAATGTGGTAAAGTTGGACACATCAAGACTGTTTGCAGAAGTTCGAATACTTATGTTACTCAGAATCCTGATAATTCTTCCAATTTATCTGGTAAAATGCAGTCGATGTCTCTTTCAACTTTTCCCAATACTCAATCTCATCTAATGAGAACCTTCACTACAAGTTCAGGCAAGTCCCATTGTTTTATAATTGATACTGGGAGTACTGAATCTATAATTTCTAAGAAAGATTTACAATCGATTTGTAAGAATGTCCAGATAGACCCTACTACTAGTTCAATTACAGGCATAACTGGTCATAAATTACCTCTTATCGGTGCTACTAACATTTCTTTGAAATCAGACAGTGGTAATTTTGTAAATATTCCCTTTCTTGTTAGTGAATATGGTCCATCTTTATTGGGATTAAAAGCCCTTAGATTGTTAAATGTCGAAATCTCACTTTGTACTGAGTTGTTTGATGAATCTTTGTTCAGAGAATTACTTCTCCAATGTTCAAAGAGTGTAGGTGGTATGAAGATTCAGCCCATCCATCTTGAAATAGAGGGTGATCCTATCTTCCTGAAACGCCGATTAATTCCATATGGATTGCGAGATGCAGTTAAGAAAGAGTTAGACAAGTTGGTTGAGCAAGGCATACTTATGCCAGTTGAGTCTTCAAATTGGGCTACTCCTATTGTTACGCCACTAAAGGCTGATGGAAAAACACCTAGAATTTGTGGTGACTACCGCCTTACACTCAATAGTCGTCTACTACAGCAAAGTTGCACTACTCTAGAAACTGAAGACATTCTCTACAAGCTACATGGCTCAAGATACTTTTCCAAAATAGATCTAAAAGATGCCTATTTGCAAATTCCTCTTGATGAGGCGTCTAGTGCATTAACAACCATTAATACTCCATTTGGATTGTTCAAGTATAAGTTCTTGCCTTTTGGTTTAAAGGTTTCACCTGCAATATTTCAAAATGTAATAAATCAGATGATAGATGGATTAGATGGTGTTGAGTCATACCAAGACGACATTATAGTTCATGGTCCTAATATCGAATTGCATAATGAACGTCTTTTAAAACTGTTCAGGCGTTTATGTGAGAATAATGTTCTTGTTAATCCATCTAAATGTCATTTCACTTTGTCGTCTGTATCATGCTTGGGATACACAGTAGACTCCGAAGGTTTCAGACCTGATGCTAGTCGTTTGGCACCTCTAATTCAAGCACCGTCACCTAATAATATGTCATCGTTGAGATCATGGATAGGTACTCTTCAGTTTTACTCCAGATTCATTCCCAACTTCACTCAACGGTTATCTCCACTTTTTGAGATTGTCTCCAGTAAACAGTTTAAGTGGGAACAACAACATGAGAATATCTTGCGAAAAACTTTGGAGTTTCTTAATAAACAAGCTTTCTTAAGACCTTTTTCATCGAAAGATAAGTCTGTTCTCACTACAGATGCTTCTCCTATGGGTATAGCTGCAGTACTTGAGCAAAATGGACAACCTGTTATTTGTATTTCAAGACGTCTAAGTAAGAGTGAACAAGGGTACTCACAAACCCAGAAAGAAGCTCTAGCAGTTGTATGGGCAATAAGACGCTTGCACAAGTATCTCTTTGGTACTAAGTTTCACATAGTTACTGATCATCAAGCTTTGAAATTCATTTACAATCCAGAAAAATCTTTGAATAAATCATCTGCTGCTATGGTTCAAAGATGGAGTTTAGAACTAAGTGCATATGATTACACTATTGAACATAGATCGGCAAAGGATATACCTCATGCAGACTTCTTATCTCGTTATTCATTATTTGAAAATATTGCTAATGATACTGATTGCTTATTAGTCCAGCCGTTACCGGTGGATCGAGTTCGACTTATAAATGATACTCGGAAATATTACGGATGCGTTATAAATGCAACAAAAAGAGGTTGGAATGTTCAGTGTAAGCGAAGATTTCCAGACTTTTATAAGCGAAGAGATGAGATTTCAGTCCATCCTGAAGGATTTCTATGTCTGAATGACAGAATTATTATTCCTCCAACATTAAGATCTGCGATTTTGGATGATCTACATTCTGCTCATCTAGGAGCTGATAAGATGAAATCATTAGCACGCCTAACATGCTGGTGGCCGGAAATTGATGCTGACATTAACAAAAGATCAAAGAGCTGTTCTAGCTGTTTACATAAAATGTCCTATGGGAAGTCATCGTGGACACCGTGGCCTGCATCTTGTGAGGTTTGGCAGCGTATTCATGCAGATTACTGTGGTCCATTCTTAAATTCATATTATGCTTTAGTTATTGTGGATTCTTATTCTAGATGGCCAGAAGTCATCATTACAGATAGTCCTAATGCCAAATTCACTCACAGAGCGTTGAGAAAGATTTTTAGTCGAGAAGGAATTCCAGATGTCTTAGTTACTGACAATGGTACTCATTTTACGGAGAAGAACTTCAATGATTGGCTCAAACATATAGGTTGTCGTCATTTGTACACAGCACCACGTCATCCTCAGTCAAACGGGTTGGCAGAAAATTTTGTACGAACATTAAAGAGTGCTATAGCATCAATGAGTCCTCAAAATCTTGATGAGCTAGAGAGATGTGTGGATAACTTCTTACTTCAATATCGCAATGCGGAGCATACAAGTACTCATGAAAGTCCTGCAAAACTATTCAAATCTCGAATTCTCAGAAAGCATCTGATGTCCACGACTTCTGATGTACATTATTACAGAGGGAATGATTATAGACCTTCTATTGGTATCATACTACAAAGAATGGGAAATCGAATGGTGAAGATATTAGACATCGAAGATAATTCAGTTCATAACAGACACTTGGATCAAGTGAGAATAAATGAGGTAGGTCGTTCCGATTATGATTATAATGACTCCGCTACTAATCCTGACTTTGTAGATAATTCAGAAATAAGTCTAGATGATACTGATGGAAATGATATCACAGAATCAGTTAGAAGATCGCAGAGACTGGCAAGCAAACCGCGATATCATTATAAATACGCAAGGAGACATTCAACGTGTGGCGGATGTGGTGATTGACTATTTCTATCTTTGTATTGTTTAAATACTTACTGTTGATTGTTAATATTTCATATATGAATTGCATTATAATTCCGCTAAATACAAATTCCTGAATTCCGCCCTCTCTGTGTTTTGTTTGGATTCTTGTAATTCGGTCATCTCGAAATACTAATACTACGATTACCACTAATTACTACAGTTTGATATAGTTTCTTACTTAAAACAAATCCTGTGTTTTGGATTATACTTGTTACTCAATGTGTGTTTGAATTAATCGATTGGATTATTGCAAAGGAGTTTTTAGAAGAAATATACATGTACATCGTAATCTTGTTTAGCCAGAAAATACTGTATATTGTTATGAATGCACATACGGAATGATGGAATTCATAATTTAGAGTCCTTAGTATACAGTTATGTACATTGTGAGTGATTTTAAACCGATTGTGTGAAATTTAGGCCCATTTCTACATTTTATTGGTGTACTGACCATGTTTATCTATTGTTTTAATACTAAGTAACTACTGGTTCTCCAACAGTCACATCAAGGGTGAAAATGACATGCTAAAATTTATTTTATTTTGATTACAGCTTCATTCCACACTGTATTTTTGGTACAAGTATGGAATTTTCAGCGTGGATATCGGCAGCCCAAACAGTGATTAGGCTTAGTTCAGTGACACATTTCGTGAAACTCAACATTTTCTGTTCTTATCTTTCTGAATATCTACTAAATGATAATAAATTTGAAACAACTACTTCCATTTATGAATTTCATCAAAGCGTTAAGGAAACATAATTTATGTGGATCGTGTAGTGTATTTGCGTAACACATTTCGAATAGTCTAACCAAAGACGTACTTGTGGTGGGAATATATGTTAAAATAATGAAGCTTTAGGGGGGGGGGAGAATAGACATAGACAAAGTTAGAAGGCCAAACTGAGGATCAAAAAGAAAATAGAAATCACTAAACCGAAGAAGGGACGTAATAGTACATCTGCTTTGGTATCAAAACGAAGTTTACCAAGGAATGTTTAATGTGATAAAGAACTGTTTCTGAACACATATAGGTGGGGGCTAAGCCTTCCACAACTTTAGGGATACTCTTCAAACATGTGTAAACATAATTTTTATACCCTGTCTCTATAATGTATCGCAACAGCGGAACTAGATGGTCTGTTCTCACCTGTGCATATTCGTTGAATTTTAGGAAAGGGGCACCTCACTAGTAGATCCCGACCGAAAGCTGCTACCTTGACGTGGTGGTCGGGTTTGAACACCGCAATGATCTATTCAAGCTATACTGGCTGAGACTTATGTCGCTTGAGGTCCTACCATGCCAGAAAGGTTGTTTGGATAGCGGTTAAACAAAAAGCAGCTACCCCATCCAATACCATGATTCAAACAAATTCACAAAATATCATGCCGGATCGGTCGGGGCCCGGATTAACAACGACCGCGCTTCCTGCTGCCGTGTCACAGGGCAGAAGTGATAAATATGCTACTGAGACACACCAAACAAAAAAGAACAAACAAAACCAGGCCGCGTGTGACCGGCCTCAAGCAGTTATCCTCTGGGCTCTGTGGTCACGCAACCAACTTCCACGGTTTGGGCAGCCGGGAAGTAACAACCGCCCATACACTTCCAAAAGCACACGAAGTCTTCCTGAGCATTATTCCCCTTCACTCACATCACCTTTCTCATCTTGCTTCTCTACTACACTTAGTACTATTCTGCAGGCTAATGAGTCTTCACTTCACTCTGTGACCACGAACAACGGTGAAAGCCATAGAAACACCCCAGAGAGCCTTTTAAAGCCACGTCACCAACTTCATATATGAGCATTTAACGTCAGGACCCTCTTCCAAATCGGACAACAAGCATCTCTAGCAAGAACTCTGGAATCTCGAGCCATAGATTTATGTTGTATTTCGGAGACACGCATACAAGACCCGAGTGTGGTCATTCACTTGACCTCACTCGGTCAACAAAGTGAGTCTGCAAAATTCACTTTAAGGGTGTCAGGAGACCCCTCAGTTAGCTCGCGAGGACTCGCATGTGTAGGAATAGCACTGAGTGTTAGGGCGGAAAAATCACTTCTTGACTGGATCCCAGTAGAAGTCGTATGTGTGCAATCCGTCTGAATGAGTCCTTTAAAAGAAGGAAAGACGGTGCAACCCGTCGTTGCCTTTTCGTAGTCTCCGCTTACGCCCCAACAGACTGCAGTTCGGATGAGCTAAAATATGACTTCTGCCTGAAACTGTCTAGTTTGCTGCAAACAGCAGAACGCTTAGATATAGTTGTTTTAGCAGGCGACTTCAATGCCAAAGTAGGGAACTTGTACCAGACTGAGAAGTATGTAGGTGATACGTATGGAGTCCCCTGCCGACGAACCGACAACGGCGATCGTCTTCTGCAGTTCTGCTCAGATAATCATCTGTTTCTAGTCAACACTAACTTTAGGCACAAAAAGAGACATCACCAAATCAACACTGGACTCAGGGAGACCACATAGCGATAGGGTATCGTTGGCGAGGGTCAGTGGAAGACTGCCGCTCCTTTTGGAACACGTGTGTAGACTCTGATCACGCTCTGGTTCGCGCACGTTTATGCTTACGACTAAATGGGCATAAGAAATTGATGGCAGCGAAACAGTTACGTCTCCAACTAGATCGAGACACTGAGTCCTTATTTAAGGAAGAAATAGCAAAACGAGTGTCTGAGGTCGACAGCAGGACTTCCCCTGATGTAGCCTGGCACAACATGCAGTTAGCTGTAGACACAGCTGTGAAGGCTATTTATAAGCTAAAACCTAAAGCTAGTAAAAGCCATTGGATCTCTACTGCCTCATCCGAACTGATTGAAGAAGAAGACTTATTCCGGCGAGCTCCGATTATGATGAGGAGTGAAAGCTACCCAAGCAAAAACTAACGAAAATTCTTCGCAACGACCGTGAACAGTGGAGATGGAAAAGGCATCTGCGATTAGCATCAACAGACAACTATTTAGATTCATCAGGGAAACAGGTGGCAAAAGGCAAATGATAAGTGAAACAATCTCTGAGAAAAATGGCACCATAATCAGCTCCCAGGATAAACGACTGGAAAGAGCACTATGAGGAGCAGCTTAATTGTCCTACAGCCACGCGTAACCTGCCGAACACCCAATATTTACCTGAATGGGATATAGACACAGCTCCTCCGTCGCTAACTGAGGTCACTAAAGCTGTCACCAATCCGAAACAAGGCAAAGCAGCGGGACCTGATGGAACGGTGGAGACAGTTTACTGTCTGCATTAACTGAGGTTCTAGGCAGAGTCTGAGAATCACAGGAAGTCCCATCGGGTTGGTGTAAGTCACTGATCATCCCGATATACAAGAAGGGAGACAAGTCTCCCTATGATAATCAGAGGGGGATTAGCTTGACTAATATGGTGGTATCTAAAGTACTAGGCTCAATAAGTATGCGTAGACTAAGTGGTGCTTGGGAGGCACAAACACGAGAGAGCCAGGCAGGCTTTAGACCAGGAAGAGGGTGTATTGATCACATCTTCACCCTCCGACAGATTCTAGAACATAGACATTCCTACCGGCGTCCAACAGTCATTATATTCCTTGACCTAAAGGCGCCATTGGATTCTGTCGACCGAGAGGTTCTCTGGCGATGCTTGGCTGTAAATGGAATTCCGAGAAAATACATTGCACTGATCAAGTCACTTACTCTACTCGAACTCATGCAGCCAAGTGAGAGCCTACGGCGAGTTGTCATCTGAAGTGGTGACGACTAATGGTATCCGTCAAGGATGCCCATCATCCCCATTTCTATTCAACTTAACCCTAACTCACTTCAGCGACTCAGAGATTGACTTGCCACCACCAGGGAATAATCTCGTTGACTTAGAATATGCAGAAGATATAGTCCTACTAGGCGAGGACGCTGACAAAATGCAGACATCGTCTTCTGAACACCTTGAGCTGCAATCTACGAATGTTTGGCATGCGATTCGCTCCCGCCAAATGCAAGATGATGTTACAGGACTGGACTACACCGACTCCTAGATTAGAAATAGGGAATGGAGTGGTAGACATGGTTGAGCGCTTCACTTATTTGGGAAGTACCATCATTCAGTGCCAATGGGTTGATCTCTGGCGAAATCTCATCACGGATACAGAGGGCTAGTTTCGCATATGCCAGTAGACAAGATATCCGACTATCGAGCAAAGGGCGGGTGTACTGCTCATCAGTCCACTCCTTCCTCTTTTATGGCTGCGAGACCTGGCCATTGCGAGTGGAAGACATGGAAAGATTAGCTGTCTTCGATCATAGGTGCCTGCGCTCCATCTCTCGTGTGAAGCGGTATAATAGGGTGAGGAGTACTGTGGTCAGGCGTCGAGTGCTATGTCAGCAGGGGAGATCAATCGATGAGGTTGTGAAGTTACATAGACTGAGATGGTTAGGACATGTGTTACGTATGCCTAGTCATCGCCTTCCTCGACGGACAATGTTAGCTGATATAGGACTGGTCAGGCTGGAAAAGAGCTAGCGGCGGTCAAACCAAAACATGGCACCAGTCAAGGAAATCTACAACAGTTAGTCTAAGCCGCGTAAGAAGGTGTAGACTTCCTGACACGTTGGGGTCTCCGGGACGGTAAAAACCAATGGTTGGAAACTATTGGTGACATGGCTCAAAACCGTTCTCAATAGCTGGTGCGGAAGCATCCACTCCCTGTGACATATGATTTCCAATGAAACTGTTTTGTTCTTCGTTATTACTATTCCTTTGTCTCACAGCTCTGTTTACTGTCGCTAATACGCCTTTCTTCTAGTTTCTTCTCTTGATTTGTGTGCTACAAGGAGAGAGTGTGGGGACTTGAACTCCCGCACATTGGTGCGAAGTTCTATGTCGGAAACAGACAGACATACAGACAATAATGGATCTTTTGTCTCGAACAGGAGAGAAGCTGTGGTGGGTTTTCTATAAACAGGTCGTTTTATTGACCAATTAGGCCGTCGATTAAGCAATATATCTAGGAAAGATAAACAACTATCTTTCTCTTCTACAGACGTAAGTGATATGCTATTTCGAAATTTATTCACTTGATTAAAAATTCCAGT